CACCCACCAGCAATTAGTTGGTATGCTTTTAAGAACACATATAAGACTGAGCTAATAGGTGCATGGAGAATTAGAAGCTGTTAGCGAGGATTGAGAGGCAAAGACATCTCAATCGCAAATTCCAGCGAGACTGTCAAAGGCAGGGAGAAGAGAATGAGCATAAAAGCTGGCGAAATTGCACCACCTAGAATACCAAAGAGAAGGATAGAGTGGTGTAAAGAGTAGCAGAGTGGAGCCAGATAGAAAGAAAATTAGATGTTTGTGCAGGAAATCAATCAAATTCGAGGAAAGGTGTAGAGAGCGTGGTGGATCTGGAGACAGGGTGACAGATGGAGGGAGAGAGGTGGACTGATAGATGAAGGGAAGGCGTCAAGGCATCATAATAAGGATAATAATCTTTTCACTGCTCTTCGTGACCGTTTGCCCTCTCCTGTACTCCGCTAAAGCCCCAACCTGACAGGTATTAATCCTCGCCACAAACCCCATCAATACCGGCCTGCTTTATAATATGCCCCACAGCAGCACGTGTGCATGTGTGTGTGTGTGTTCCTACAGCTTTTCTGCATCCAACTCAATAGCAATGATTAAAAACCACTAAAATGCTTAAGTAGTGTGTGTGGAAGTGTATTATCTAGCGGCCGCCATATGTATCTATCACGCAGCAGAGTGAGTGACAAGAGGAGTTGGTTGTGAAGCCGGCGGTGAGGGATTATGATGGCTAGTTTATTTACAAGGTCATCTCCCCTTGACTGCCTCTGCTGTCCCTGCTCGGCTCACATCATACCGCCGTCAGGAATCATAAGACATCTATGTCTCCGTCTGTGATTTTCTGTTCAGCTTGTTAAACCCGAATGCTCTGAGGAGAAGGAGAGGATGTGGGAATTGGTTGGGCCGTTGTATTTGTGGCCAACAATTTATTGTTTTCAGCGGGAGAATGACAGTAATTGTGTCTTCAGTGCCTGTGGATGGAGTGCAGATGGAGTGATAAGTTCAGATTACCCACTTTAGCCATTTACTGTGATGAAGACAAATAAGACGTTGAGAGATTTAGAAAGACAGATGCTTCCACAACTTTGTCTTGTAATGAAGACAAAGTTTTGAATAAGCCTGACCGAATGTGTGTGTGTATTTTTGAGTCTAAAGGTTTTGTGTTAAGAACAACGGTTTTAAATAAAAGAATCACATTTTTTGATTGTTTTTAATGCAGACAGGAGACAAAGTGCTTGACTTTAAATGTTAAAAAATGCAAAATCATTACATGTTTTAATACAAAGCAGAAAGAAAAAAGAATGTCGATTTTATCCAAGAAAACTGATGAGCAATTTGCAGCTAATATATGCAGCTGGTCAATACAAACTACTTAAACAAACATGACAGCTATTGAATGTTGGTTCACTTTTTATTTCATGCTATTCCCCTGATTGACAGTGGTGTGGTGGTAACATGCAAGGAGGCATAATAATGCACCAACAAAGCCAGCGAGGAACAACACTTCTAGCAGGTATACATGGGCCCAATCCAAGTCTCCACGCTCACAGACTTTGAGATGCGATTAATGAGGGTTTAGGGATGTCCCACTGTCAAATCAGCAAGTGCATGAGGCCTCTGATGTGGACTCTTCAATGCTATTAGGCACTCTTTTCTGTAAATTGGTGACGTATAAGCAATAATGCTGTGATGATGTAAAGAAGAAATTCACGAGAAAGTTTATCTGTAAGTGGAAGCATCTGGCTGCTCGCTGTTGTGGTTATTTATTGCATCTGTTGAATTGTTTGATTTTAAGTCAAACCCCTGCATAGGATTTACATGTTCATGGCTTTCCTGACTTTTAGTAGTTTGCTAAGATATATAAAGATTGTAATGCCACAAAGAGGTAGTGGTCAGCTGTGCAGCTAATCAAACTATGAATGAAACAGGAGTCAAAATGTTTCTACAGTGAGCCACTGTTTTGGATTTGTTGTGCCATTTTGAGCCTTCATAGACTCACAGACTGCAGCACTACAACTGTTAAGCCTGTGAGAGTTTAGTGTTTTGGATCTAGGGGTGAAGACATGGATACACACATTGCAGTCTTCAAATAAATCCACATTTTAAGCATTTTATGAGAAAGGGAATATACCTATGTTACACATTTTAGTGAGAAACACTCACAGTAAAGGTAGCTTCTGTTTGTTCCCAAGCCAACCTTGTAGGCTACCTTTTATTCACTCCAAATCGAATGTATGATGTAACTGATCAATCAGCCACCTGCTGAGCAAAATCAGACACATCCTGGCACTTCTCATCTCTTTATCGACCGGTCGCTTGTAGTTCCTAGACGACGGTGTGAATAGTCCCCTCGCTTATTAAATGCGCGGCCTTTACTGTGTGCTGTAGCCCCGCTGCTCATTGACCCTGGAGCTTTAAATTAAGCATATCATATTTTAAAAAACGGATTTCTTTGATATCCGTAGAGGCGAGGGCAGGAGGCCACACTGTAGACACTGGATGTATTAATGATTTACAACTCGCATTGTAAAAATACTGTAGAAGTGTTATTTTACGTAAATTATTGAGAATGATCACTCAAGGTCTTTTCTACAGTACTGCAAGCGACTCACTTATGCACAACAAAGCAAGCACTGTCAAGGAGAAGGCTCCCACTACTACACTGTGACTGACGGCCCTTTCTGTTACGCTCGAGTGTGAATACAGTAAAATTACAGGATGACTCCAATGCAGAAAAAAATATAGTCAGAAAATACATATGATAATCACTGGTAGAAATGTAAATAAATCTTTTTTTTTTTCTCTTTTTTTTTTTTACGCATCGGCACTTTGTCGAATCACATCAAGGCTGTCGGATTCACAGCCGCATGTGTTTGTGCGCTTAAATGACACGCCATGCAAACAGAGCTGAGAAAAAAAATGATTGACAGACAGAAGTAACTGTTCTAGAACCTTAAGTCTGAAAATTATTCAGCGTGTCTGCGTGTGTGCGCTTACACACAGATAATGACTGATAGCTTTACAGTCTGCTACCAGGCTTAAAGAAAAAAAAGTTTCTCTGTTTTTCGAGAAGTTGTCATTTGAAAAAAGTTTCTCAGCCTTTGCTCTCTGTCAGAGATAATGAGTCATTTACATTCCAATCATTTCTTGACGCGCAACATCGACAGCAGGTGGTGGGGGTTATGAATAAAAGCACTACCTTGAGTGTAAGTGTCTTATTTACATCAATGCAAATGCATCTGCATTCTCTCACTTTTTAAGAGCTCAGAGAGAGGACGGTTAGATTGAGAAAGGCACCCCCTTCTGTTGAAATAATCATTCCTCTCCATTTAGCTCGCTAATCGAGTCCAATTTAGCGTGTGCATGAGTCTGTGTGTGTGAGTATGAATTTACAGTAGGTCCACGTGACTCACTATACATGCTTCACGTATTTTTTCATGGTAATGTGTTGAAAGTTGCTTGATATAAAAAAAAAAGAAAGAAAAAGGAAAAACACAGTGGCTGTGGAGTTCAGCAGCTATTCCAACTTTGCACTTTTGTATCTGTTGTCACAGCTCCCTCAGTAGTTAACTTGTTTATTTCATGCCTATGTAGCGTGAATATCTGATGGGTGATCTTTTTCCCTGACGTGTGAGGTTTGTTGTCACAGTGAAGCGTCTTTTCAGTGTCGTTTCAGTAATAATTGGCAATCAGTATTCCAAACATGGCAACATTAGTGCTCATGTCTTTTTCTTTTTTTTAAAGTGTAGATTAAATTGTGTTGTGTTTTGAAGTTGCAACCTGGAGTTACACTCGGTGTAAGAAAGGTTTAGGGAATGGACACACACACACACACACACACACACACACACACACAAAACCCGGCGAGACAGAAAACACGTACGCGAGTGTTGGCCGTCTCTTTGGTGCATGCTTTAGTTAGTTTTAAACAAGGTGCGGGGAGAAAACTTCATCCGATTCTTTGAAGTTTTCCCCCGTGTGCACCACAACAACCCCAAACAGAAAAGGGCTCTTAAAAACAGGCTGCCTGTTCAATTTGAATAGAATAGAAGCCATGAAAGAGCATACATTTGCAAATAGTTTGCATCTAATTTAGAGCAACTTGAGTAACATTTTAAGAATGACAAATAACCGCCTCATTTGACTTGTTTTAAAAATCTGAAAAGATGCGTGCCCTTTTGCTGACTTTCCCTTTAAAGGGGTCAAATTGTGTAGCATGTTGCTTGTTGAGTAACACGGTCCCTGTCTGATTAACTTGGACCTCATTCTGACTTTACATTTTTGCAGTGATTGAAATGAGTATTTTTATTTCACAAAAACCTTGGGATTGCTGATGTTGGTGTCCAAAGTGCTGTGTTTAAATCACACATTATTAATGTTATGGCTTTCCTTTTTTTTTTGGTATAAATTTGTTTAAAAGTCCTTGACACATTTTTTTAAAATGAAACGTGTGCAGAATAAAGAGGAAGCATGCAGTAGATGTAGGAGGACAGATACTGGAAAATGTGATATGGTTCCTATAGGCAGCAGATTTTATTATGCAAGCCTCCACCTGAGCAGAATATCGTTGCTAATTATTTTATAACTTGCACTCACAAATGACATATTTTCATTCATTGTATGAAATGCCTGCTATTATTAGTGTGTCCCATTCTAGTTCACTTCTGAAAGATTAAACACACGTTTCATGTTTGCAGTGAGGAATTGTAAATGTCCTGGGGTTTACAGGGAAAAAAACATCTGCTCATATGCATGTAGAGGAACCTACAGCTAGATGAAAGTTATACATATAGACAGCAACATCCAAAGTGACTCAAGAAACCACACATTGTAAAGTAAAGGTTGCCACACCCACCCTAAGCTCATCTCTGCACTAGTGGAGATTGATTTATTGTACCCCCCAGTATCTTGTTGTGTTTTAAAAAGTAATTAGAAGTAAGTTGCACTATTCATTTAAAGTCTAGTTGCTTTCAGTTACCCGAGCTACAGCCTCTCTGTCTGTCTCTCCGAAGCTCTCTTGAGGGCATGTGCTGATGGAGCTGCCAATCATCTTCATAACACCACTGCTGGAGATCGCGACAGGTGAGTCGGCCTTCTGTTCACATTTGCATTCATTTGTGATTTCACTTAAACGTCTTTGTTTGTGCACTTGTGTGTTTGGGAAAAGGATGATTAAATGGAAGAAGTGCACACTGTTCATTTACATGAATTGTGTTTTTTTTTTTGTTTGTTTGACCTGAAATGTGGCAGCATCGGTACCATATTGTGCATTCAGCATCTTTGTGTGTGGTTGTATGAGTCTATGTGTGTGTGTGAGAAAATGCACCCTGTTATGTATGAGTGTCGTGTGTGTTTCTGACAAAGTACTGTAGGTGCTTGTTCTGCAGCGGCATTTTTGTGTGTGTGCGCGCGAATGTGTGGCTAATGGAGGACTGCTGTCAGGACAGAGATGGATCTGGGGATCACTGGGTCCCTGAAGTGTTGAGGCTTTCACATTAACGCCCAGAGTGTGAGCATGAGTGTGTATTTTGTCCGGGTGTGAGTGGGATTGTATGTGTGTCTGTGTTCGTGTGCATGTTCTTGCATTTTTATCGGTGTGACATCCGTTTTAAGCTGTAGACATCTAAGGTGAGGACATTTTTGCAAATTGACGTCATCTGGGCCCAATCACTTTTTTTTTTCCCCCCAATTAAAAAAAACGTATTGCAAACTTTGAAATTAGACCCATAGTTTCGTGATGGAAAGCTTAATGTTTTTGCAGTTAAAATATTTTTAGATGAATGTGTTGATACACTAAAAACAGCACGTTTAATGTGGTTATAGATCCTATATGTTAGATTAAAAAAAAGCCACATTATTCATAACACTTCAGTTTCATAAAATTGTATTTTAGTGTGCATTTTTGCTGATGAGTTCACATTTTCTCAGCAAATTTATAACACTGATGTATAGACAATTTCAGCCGATCAATGCCGCAAGCAGGATGCGACAGAAAACTGCATGCTGGTGGGAGCAGTGGGATTCACCAGAGATTACAGCAGTCAATTCTTCACCAACAGTTATCACTTTCCTTTAATAATATTGATAATCTGTATCTAAGGAGCATTTTTCACGTTCCAAGTTACAAAAGTCCCTCATAAGGTTTAGCAAAACAAACCGGGGAAAACAAGTCAAGAAATCATCAGGATTGAAATGGAACGAGATAAAACCACAACTCAGTGATGCAAATCAATACCAATACGGGCAGGAAGGTAAAAAGACTTGAAAAAAAATAAGACACTTTAAAGGAAATTAAAACTAGGGCTGAACAATTAATCGATTTTAAATCGAAATTTGAAACAAAGCAATTAGCGAATCGCAAGAGCTGCAATTTAGGATATGCATTACGCAGCACATCTAACCCGGGCCTTAAAGTGTCGTATCAGTGGTTTTTACAAGTCCGTGCCGTCCTCCTTGTGCAGCCATGCTTTTGATTCATGTGGTAATGCTTCATCACATGTTTCAAATCTATTGCACAGTGAATATTGAGCTGAAGCACAACTTTAAAAAATGATATTGCAAATCAGTTTGCAATTGCAAAAGCTGTCAGAAAAATTGCATCCAGATACTGTTCTCAAATTGCTCAGCCCTATTATACAAAACAAAAGCTAACAAACAAAGACTGGAGGATCTCAACATTTGTACTGATAGATAGGGTTAAAAGAGGTCGGGGAAAAGCTGTGAGAGAGGCCACGATTAAAGTATCGGTTAAAACATTAAGATCAGGGCTTGAGAATAACATGAAGCGAGGCGTGGATATCTGTTTAAGATGTAGGATCCTTCAGTAAGGCTCTGCTCTTTCTGTAAGTCTGTCAGACACACTATGTGAGGGTGAGTTTTAGCCCTGATTGCAGAGGCATCGCTCATGGTTCCGTCTGCCTGTGTGACACAGCAGATTCATCTTCTGACCCTCCAGTCTGAGCTCTGTCAGCAGCCTGTACGGCGGAGCTGTCAGCCGGGCCTTCCTTTTAGCCTGACTGCTCCCCAACACTAACAGCATCTTTCCAAAAAAAAAAAAAAAAAAGTTATACATTACACAGGGAGGGTAGAGAGGGAGGAAGGGAGGAAAAGGGAGGACATTTTTATGGGTGGGGATGTGTAAATCAATCACCGAGCAGTTAAGATGTATTTAACCCAGCATTACCATAACTAATGGACTACAGAGACAGAGAGGAGAGGAGGAAGGGAGAGGGAGATGCAAGTAATCAATCAAAGCTAAGTTTTATGAGATCTTAACAGTGCTGGAACACAGGCAGGAGCAGCAACATCCCTATGTACATGATTTAATAAACAGAGTATGAGAGAAGAAGAAAAGACGACCAAAAGAGAGAAAGATGACTTAAAAATGAAGATGTAATATGAGTATGTGTTATGAGTGTGTGGGTTTACATATCTGTCACCAAATTGTGTTTTAGTAAAACCATTATGGCAAAAAAAATAAATAAAAAATCAATCCCAGACATCAGACTTTACATAGTTCAACAATATCACATACATTTAGAGCAGAGCCTGTTGAAAGGTCCCACATCTGAGCTGTAGCTTACAGATCCACAGAGTTCCTGCAAGTAATACTAAAAAACTGCGCTGTATCACATTGCATTTTAATATCTAGTTTTATAAAGGGAAGCCAGCCAAAGTGCACGCCAGCCTTTGCAGTCGTTGGTTCAACAATATTTTCCACATTTTTTGCTGTTGGAGATGCACGATATGTCAGATTTTGTGGGAAAAAAAAAATAAATCGATTTCATTTGCCTGCAGGGGAACTGTGTTGGAGGTGGTGTATGGGAGGCCAAACCGAAACTGAAATTTGGAGCGTTCCCATTTCTTTGAAATGTAAATGATTGTCAAACCTTTTTGGAAAAAGTGATAGCCTAATAAGTGAAGTGAGAGTTTGTCCGTATTTGCCAGGGTATTTCAATCAAAATATAATAAGGTACAAAAGTTTCTGGTCAACCTCCACAGCCTCCTGCACTGCCACAAGAACAGAGTGGGCGGACGGCCTCCCACAGTTAAAAGAAAGGTGCCACGTAATTTTCTGTCAAAACAGCCTTAATGGTAGACATTAGGAATGTAGAGAGGCTGGGGCGCTTCAGGCTAAGGCTTTCTGCCTCTTATGATGAGTCAAGTGACAATGATTTGACTGCGCTGTATGGGGTGTTAGAAGACAAACGGTACATATTTTTGATCCAAATGAAGCTTGCATCCATTTAAATTGGGTTTTTCCCCTGTTTTTATTTTTTATTTTATTTATTGAAGCGCTCTCTCTCGGCTTATGTAAGTGGTTGAAACCCACTTGCGTCATACATTATTGATTCTCTATCAGCAGTTTTCTTGTTGATATTTATGCATTCTTCCATCTCCACCGTTCTTAGACCGTAATGTATTCAGACTATTGTGTTGCTTGATGAGGACCACAGCTGACGTGCATGCCGTTGATCACTCGGTTCAAACAGTTGCTTATATCAGAGAATCTGGGTCACTTATTTGTTCTTTTCCTGGTATTAAATCTGTAATATTCCTTCGACATATTTACATAAAGCATGCTTAAGCCTCATAATTGTACTTATAAGTCCAGCTCATTTGCACACACTTTTTCTCTGCATATTTAATTTGTATTTTACTTAGTCTGTCCCTCTTCACATTACTTAAAATCTGCTCATTTCTGTGTTACAACCAGAGGAAAAAAACAGTGTTCTTTACTCACATGCATGCAAATGTGCTCAATTTCTCTACATTTATTTGCAGTTTTTAATCCGAGGTTGGTAAATTGGTGTAATCAACCAGTAACTAATCATTCGAGAGGTGAGTTTCACAAAGCAGGAACCAAATGCTAGAGTACTATACCACTACAAACGATTTGTTGTTAAAGTGTGACTTTATCCTCGCCAACTTCTTCCCCTTCCATATGGGGCACAAATGTAAACACATTTTCTTATATTGAAGACCTAAGTGGATGTTGTCAACAAGGCTGTGATGAATTACAAAACTATACTGCTCTGCGATAATTATTTAACTGTAGAGTGGGTGTAATTTAATTATCTTTTAAGCCGGACCACTGAGCGACAGTCGCCAACGTAAAGCCTTTCACCTCATAAAGGGAGTTAGAACTGTATACCAAACTTGCGCGAAAATTGCTTTCGTGGGAGCTCGGGCTTTTTTTTTTTTTTTTTTTTTTTAAATCAAAACTGACACTCCCCTGGCTGTCCTGTAAATCTAACGCAGTATCTTTTAGTTTGAAATGAAAATTGCATTTTGTCTAATTTGCGCGTCTAATCAAATCCTATGGGAGGATAAAGGAGTCAAGAGATGGATGAACAGGGAGGGATATGTGGGAAAATGTGAGAGGAGGTGACTGTACACAAGCAGGATTTTAAAAAATTGCATCTGTGTGTGTGTGTGTGTGTGTGTGTGTGGCATTAGAAGGGAGATGCAGACGCGTGTGATTGTGTCAGTGTTTGACTAAGCATGTGTGGAACAGATTTTCAGAGCGCAGTTGTATCAGCGCACCATTGTGTATGCATTTTGGTTTGGAGAAGATAATACTGTCAGCCTCAGCAAATAAAGTTGTCAAGAGCAAGACGCCTTATTTTATGCGACTTAGTGACAAAGCGATATCTCCGACAGTCTCTTTTATTTGCCATTTCCATGTATTCTTCCTTCTATTCATATCTCACACCTTTTATTTCTTTTTTATATTCACTTAGCAGGCAGGTGTCAGTTTGTGGGATGACTAAAGTGTTATAAGATACCATGTTTCAGATAGTTAGTACAGATGTGGTCAATAAAGATTCATAAGACAGATATGTTGGCACAATGTAATCCCTAAACAGCTCATTTCATATAGCTTGCACACTCTGTTTACTTGCTGGAGTATTTAGATTTATGTGACCTAAACACACAGTCAAAGGTCAGACAATTCCTGAAAATTAAAAATCCCTTCATCTTTATTGTTGTAATGAAACTTGGCATCGCCTTTTACCACTTGCGCTTTACACTTCTGTTTTTACATAACGTGTTGTGTTGAGTTACTGTATTAGAAATAT